GGGGGGGAGGGACCCCAAAAACCCCCTGGGACCCCCGAGAGGGACAGAGCCCCCACAACCCTCCCCCCATTGATCCCATTAATGGCCACATCAATTCTGGGAGTTCTGTGGGTGGGAGGGAACCCCAAACCCCCTCCCCATGAGTCCCGAGGGTCCCAGGGGTTCCCAAATCCTTCCCCATGAGCCCCCTGGGTACCGTGGGGACACCAAACCCCCTCCCCAGCCCCCCACAAGGAATGGGGGGACCCCGTCTCCCCCCTTCCCATTAATCCCGAGCACCCCAAGGGTGTGTGGGGACTCCAAGCCCCTCCCAGGGTGATCCCAAACCCCTTTCCCAGGAGTCCCGGGAGGTCCTGGGGTACCTGTGGCGGTGGGAGGGGTGTGGAAGGGGGGCCCAGCCCCCCCAAACGTGGGCGCTCCCAGGGTGGCTCCGAAGGCATCGAAAGGGGGGAAGGCAGAGTGGGGCGGGGGGGCCGGGCCTGGGGAGGCTCAGAGTCACCCCAAAGGCCCCCTCAGGGCTTCAGAGCCAGCGACCTGCTGGTCACCAGCCCCTCTGGGTGCGATCAGGACCCTCCCGGCCCCCCCAGCTCACCGGGGAAGGCGGCGAAGGCGGGTCCCAGGGTGGGGGTGGCAAAGGGGTCCCCCCCGATGTCTGCCAGGAGGTCGGTGCTGGATTTTCGGGGGGGCTGGGGGGGTCTTTGGGCGGCTGGGCGGGGCTGGAGGGGGGCACAGAGAGGTCAGGGGTGGAACCCCTCCCCCGGGCACCCCTAAAAACCGGTCCGGTCTCACCTGTGGCAGCGTCCCCGTGTCCCCCAGGAGCAGCTGGGGGGCCTCCGTGGTGCTTTGGGGGGGTTTCACTTGCTCTGGGGCCACGTACCTGCCGTGGGGAGAGGGGCACAACCATGGGGGTGTGCCCCACGCTGTGCTGCTGCCCCCAAAAAGGTACCCCCAACCCCCCCAGTACCATCGTTTCTTCTCGTATTTCTCCTGCAGGAACTCCTTGACCTTCTGGGGGTCCCGGGAGTCAGGGAGCTCCGAGGTCCGGGGGTCGAAGGTGCCGAGCCAGACCCGTCGGCAGGCCTGGGGGGGGAAAGGGGGCGAGGTGGGCAAGGCGAGAGGGGAGGGGACGGAGCCCCCAGTGCCACCTCCCGTTACCTCATTGCCGCGCTCCTGCAGGAACAGCACCTCTGCCTCACTGAACGTCGTCATGGAGATGGACTTGACGCGGTGGGGGGGGTTCAGCCCCCGCCTGGGGAGGGGATTCTGTAGGTCAGCGCCGCCCCCGCGCCCGCAAACCCCCTAAAAGGAGGTTTTTCCCCCTAAAACGCCGGAATGTTGTCGACGCCCAGGGGTAGCACGTGCTTGGGCCACGCCCCCTTCCCGTAAGCCCCGCCCCTAGTGAACGCAACCAATCAGTGACTGAGTGCCCGCCTTGGCCCCGCCCTTGCCGTGACCCCCCCCCCCCCCCTGCCCCCCCCCCCCCCCCCCCGTCCCCGCTCACAGCGCCCCCGAGCAGGCGGTGCACACGAGGCTGCCCACGCTGATGTCCACGTAGGTGACGCCGCGCTGGCCGCACTCGAAGCAGAGCCGGTTGGCGGGGGCCGCGCTCACCAGCTCCCGCACCCGCCGGCACCAAACCTCGGCCTCCGCGTCCCGGCCCGCGCTGCCCCTGCGGCCCCCGGGGCCTCCGCCGGGCCCCGCTCCGGGGCCGGGGCCGCCGCCTCCGCCCGCCGCCATCTTCCCGCTCCCGGGGGGGGGCCCCGCCCCCCGCCGCGGCGCCGCCGCTGCTGATTGGCCGCGCCTGGCGAGCGGCGCCCCCGATTGGCCGCGCCTGGCGAGCGGCGCCCCCTGGCGGCCCCGCGCCGCGGCTCCTCCCGCCCTTTTTCCCCCCCTCCGCGCCCCCCCCCCCCCCTCCCTGAGCGGATTCGACACCGACGCGGCTTAAAAACACCCGGTTTTGGGGCCGTTTCACCCAAATTCGGCATTGTCACCCACTCCCGGCTGCCCCCCGTGTGAAGGGAGGGGGATTTGGGGGGTTTCTGCCCCCTCCGCCCTTTTTGTCCCCTCAGCACCCCCCACCTCCCTCAGTGTTTTACCGCCAAACACAAAAAAATCCTCCTCTTTTGGGGTCGTTTTCTCACAAATTCTCTATCACTCCCCCTCCCCACCACCGTAACACGAGGGGACAGGGGGTAGGGGGGCTCAATCCCCTCACTGGGGGCTTTTCCCTCCCCTTCAGCACCTCATAATGCCGCCGGTGGTGTTTCGCACCCAAACAACCATGAAAACTGCCTTTTTGGGTCATTTCCCCACAAATTCGCTATTATTTCCCCTCATTTTGGGTCATTTCCCCACAAATCCCCTATTATTCCCCCTCCCGTCCCATTCCGTGAGGTGTTCTGGGAGGCCCCAGTCCCCTCTTTGGGGAGCCCCCCCCATCCCCGTCCCGTCCCAAACAGGCCTTTCCAGCTGCTTCTCTCTTTTAATAGTGCACAGAACCACGTTACAAAACCCCCCCGGTTCCCCCCGACCCCCCCCCAAACTGGGGCCCCCCCGGACCCCGCGGGGCGAAGGCAATTCTGGTACCGGGGAGGGCGAGGGGGGGGTCGAGGCACAGAAGGGCCCGGGGGGGTCCCGGGACAGGGTTGGGGAGGGTCCTTTGCCCCCCCCCCC